CACAATTCCCATGCTTTGTGGGAGGAGCCCAATGGGAGGTAATTGAATCATGGGAGCAGGTCTTTGCTGTGATGTTCTCATGACAGTAAGTATCACAAGGTCTGATGTTTATTATAAGGGGGAGTTTCCCTGCACAAGCTCTCCTCTCTTGTCTGCCACAATGGGAGATATGCCTCTCACCTTCCACCATGATTGTGAGGCCTCCCCAGCCACGTGGAAGTGTAAGTCCATTAAATCCCTTTCTTTTGTAAATGCCCAGTCTCAGGTATGTCTTTATTAGCAGCATGAAAACAGATTAATACATCAAGTGAAAAATTATTAGCCTGAGTTGCAAACAGCAACTGGATGGCCTTCCATTCAGTGAAGCAGCTGTCTCATTTCTGTGTAGCTGCATGAACATATCTAGAACACCAATGGTAATATCCTAGCATTCTGTGCAGTTCTCACACAAGGGACCTGAGTTTACTATCTACCTCACAATAAATAAAGGTAATTATACTCACAGTGATCACTACATAGGGTGTGAAACAAGACAGTCACAGTCACAAATGTTAGCAATAATTTCTCTGATGGTTGACAAAGTTACCCACTAAAATAAGCTACAGACAAATCCCACATCACTTCTATCAAACTTTTCTAAGGCCACTAGTTTTGCAGCAATTGGAGCCTCAGATAGCCTTAGATCACAGCCAAGAGCAGCATGTAAAGCAAATAACCTTTTAGGGATATGACACTCTACATGTTAGTTTTGTACTTTCAAAAGCTTATTGACTTAGGATGGAGACACTTAATATGTGATATCAATCCTTTCATGTGCATGTGATTATTTACTTGGCAAGCTATACTAATAACAAATTGCACCAAAATGCAAAGCTGTCTACACCAGCAGATTTTTATCCTAAGGTAAAAATAAACAAAAACATATGTAAAGAAATCATGTATAAAGCTACATTTATTAACAAATTCATTTCCTAATAAAACACCATCTGCAAGCAACCCTCAGTTTCCACTTGATATAAATAGGCCTTTTACTGTTTTCAGATGAAGTTCCCAGAAAATTCTTCTAAACCCAACTGCGGAACACATCAGCAATTTGTTGTTGTTATTGCCAGGAATGTTAATAAACTCTATGACATGAAGTTTTGTTTGTTTGTTTGTTTATTTATTTATTTATTTATTTATTTTTGAGACAGAGTCTAGCTTTGTCACCAGGCTGGAGTGCAGTGGCACAACCTTGGCTCACTGCAAACTCTGCCTCCCGAGTTCAAGCTATTCTCCTGCTTCAGCCTCCCGAGTAGCTGGGACTACAGGTGTGTGCCACTGTGGCCAGCTAATTTTTGTATTTTTAGTAAAGGCGGGGTTTCACCAAGTTGGCCAGGATGGTCTAGATCTCTTGACCTCATGATCCACCCATCTCAACCTCCCAAAGTGTTGGGATTACAGGTGTGAGCCACTGAGCCCAACCAACATAAAGTTTTTAAACAAATTATTTGTTAAAATGACATGCCTCAATTGAAAAGTTGACCTTCTGCAATGAAGCTGGTTATACTTCTAATATCCTTATTGTTGATACAGAAATTCTAAGACGCATTGAAATGTTTCAAGGATAAAAAATAAAAATCTCCCCACTGTATACTCAATATGTGGACACATAAACAAACATGGGCACACACACTTGCACATCACATTTCAGTAATAGTTTGTGATCTCTCAATTCATAAATATAATGTTATCTGCTTATTTGTATATCTTAGAATGCTGTCTGTTTTCTGGCCATTCAACCCATCCCGCTTCACCCTCCCCACAAATGCACTTCACTAACACTCATCAACCTCCTGTCACTAGAGCCAGGGAAAAAGTTGAGAATGCTCAAAGAAATACTGTGATTGCTCCACGGATAAGTCTTTTTGGTAATAACTTAGAGTAATGTTACCACTCATCAAAGACAGCTACACTGACTAGGGACCCGGAACCCAATGCCTGAAACTTCTTGGCGCCAGGAACTGGGGCTGAATTCTAATGCTAAGTGTTTTTGAAAAGTGCATCAAGATTTAATAGGGTGAATTTTCAGACTTGGTCAGAGTTTTAGCCACATAAATTCCATTAGGTTCAAAGCTCCGTAATGCTCCACCCTGTCTGTATTTATGCCCGCATTTTAATCTGCACCCTTCTAAGCTCTCTTGGTGGGCTGTGTAACCTCTCTTTTCTTTTCCTCCTATTTTTGATTCTCACATTACCCTTGGGTTCTGTATATGCCTCTGAGTTTAGGGCTTTAAGCTTCTCTCTACTCTTCTGTCAAATCGTTCCTTGAAACCCATATTTTAAAATAAGTACTTTCTTCACTGATCTCCTATCATGACTTTATTGCACCTGGCCCGTTTTTCATACAGAGCTCTACCAAGGTCTGTTTGTACCATCACCAAAGGCTGCATGCACATAGGCTGCTCCTGGGATAATCGTCTCCAGAGCTGATGACAGCTCAGACTGTCTTTGAAAATGTACCTCTCGTTGGTGTGCCAGAGCACTGAGTGAAAGCATGAAGTCATTTCTGAATCTGGGTCAGCCATTTTGTGAATGTATAAGAGAGAGAATTACAACAGAGTGGATTTCGCTGGGTCTGTGATTTGTCACTCTACTAATGAGGTATGGAAACAGGCTGACAGACTGCTTTATGGGGCAGTGCTATTTCCAGATCAGTTCTGGCTGTGTAAGGAGGGAACAACAGCAGATACCAGGGCAAAAGAAGAAACAAGAATGATATCCCCATCTCCCATTATACTTCTACTTTTTCAAAGCAGATCTCTTTTTTGGTTTTTAAGTATTAAAGCCTGTATTAAGTCATTCCATAGAAATTATGGCTAGAATTTCTCAATGACAGAACAGGAGCAGAGCAGAGTAAGAAACACGCAGACAGAATACAACTGAAAAAGATACAACTCATGATGGATTTCCTAGCAATTGTTTACATTTGTGCATGTTATTTGATTAACATTGTGGCTTAGAAAATGTAATCAAGTAACCATTTTTGAAATTCATTCATTCAACAAACATTTATTGAATATCTACTATGCGCTAAGTATTTGCTAGGCACTTGGGATACAGAGAGAATGAGGTATTCCTTGCTCTTAGTGAGCTCACAGTCTAGTAGAGGAGATAGAAACATAACCAAATCACTACAATACAATGCAGTCGGTGCCAATCAGGGCATATAGAAGGTGCTAGAGGAGCCGAGACAAAGGGGTTTTTAATTAAGCTGAGGGGATCAGGGAAGCTTTCACAGAGAAGGTGACAACTGACCAGACCTGAAGAAGAAACAGGACTTCACCAGGAAGACAAGGGAGGGTAGGGAAAGACATTCTAGGCTGAGGGGACAGCAGGCCAAAAAGCAAGGAAGCGTGATAAAGCATGACATGACAGAGAACCACAGGTAGTCCCATATGGCTGGGATTTCAACTGCACATGAAGAAGTAGTGAAATATGTAGCCAAAAAAGGAGTATGAAAATAAAGGGTGAAGAGCCTTGTATGTGTGACTAAGAAATTTGGACTTTTCCCTGGAAGCGATGAGAAGGCAATGAAGAATCAAAAGCAGGGAGTGACATGGTCAGATCTGCCTGTTAGATGAGCCTGCATGGATGGTATGGAAGAGAGGTGAGACTAGAGGGAAGGAGACCAGTCAAGAGGGGCTCTCACAGCAGTCCACTGAAGGCTCACAGGTGGTTCAAAGGCAGTGGGGGTAGAGGTGACAGACTAGAGAGATACTTAAGAGGAAGCTTGACAAGACTTGATGAATGATGATACAAAAAGCAAAACTGCCTCAGAAATGAAACAATATTAAAAACATACATTCAGAAAATATAGTCAACAGCCTCAGGCCTCCCTCCCTTTATGTTCCCATTGTCCTCTGAAATCACCGCATCTGCTGAGGATAAATAAAGGAAGGAGAGCCAGGGGGCTTATAGGGTCACACTTCTCTAACTCAGATAACACTGACTTGGAGTCTGTAACCATTCAGACAGACTGCCTGTCACTCCTATTGAGTAAGAATTTAACCCTACTTTCTTCCTCTGTGTTATTTCAAGCCTTTAGTCACCAGTGACAGGAATCCAATCTAAAGGCAGTGGCTTCTTCCAATCAAGACTTTGAGGTGCAGTAGACAGCCGCTTACATAGTGGTGTCTGAGAGGCAGCACCATATATGCTCCCCACCCATGGACCACAAGGCCTGGAATCCAATCATTAGCGATTCATTCCTCAGAAGAGGCTTTGGTGTCTCTGGACTTCTCTTTTACAAGGCAATGATTCCTGAGATGGGTAGGATATTTAGTCATTCTAAACCAGTGGGCTTTAGTTACTTGTAATGCCTTTTGCTTTGACAGAAAGGATGAAGGTAGAATAAAAGGGCTATGTAGATACCTGTGGAAGAAGGAGATGCAGAAGGGAAGATTGATGGATATAGAAGATAACATTAAGATCCTGCCAAGGAATAGCTCTGTAATCACTCAAGAAACTAAAATTCTTAAAGAATTCCTTCTATTTCAGGTTCCAGCAAACCACACTTCTACATTCATCTACTTTAAGGAACTTCTGTATTTTAGGTTTAGAATATGCTATTGAGTAGTCAAGGCCTATAGTGACTCGCAATCTTCTCATGAACCTCTTACGACTTATGACCAATTATAATCTCAAATGTCATTAATTTGTACATGATATTACTCCAACTGTATTTTATGAAACTCTTTTATAACTCCAACTTGTCAATCATTCAGTCAGACCAACCTTGTCTTTTGCCATTCCAAATTATGGAGATTTAACTGTGTTTGCAGCGTGTTAATCAGTTATGTCACAAGTGACAGAAGATCAAAATTCAGACTCTGAACTTGAAGAATATCCTATACAGCTCAATAAGGTAAATGAGAGCTGCTTGTGAATACTGGATTATAGAGGTTAGAGCAGAGAAATTTTAAAAAGTGAAACCAAACAAAACTTTAAAAATTACTTACTTCACTTGTTTGGAGGATGGTGAACTTTGGCAGTTTAGTCTTTGAACTGGCTGCACTGGGTTTTCCATCCAAGAGTGTTCCAAATGACAGATTCCCAAAGCTGTTCTCAAATTCAATTGAAGGTTTCAGTGTTGGCGAGATGTCTGGTGCTTGGTCCTGGCCATCCATGGGTCTGACGTATGCAGTTGGCTTTTGCTGCCCCATGCTTGTTTTGCAGTAAAGCCCTGGTGGGAAGTTTTGAACTGAAAGGCCACTGCTAGGAGCTAATAAAGAGGAAGCCACTAGGGGAGACCCAGGTGCTTGCACGGCGAATTCAGATTTTTCTGGTGAATTGGATTGAAAGATTTCTTTGAAAGCATCTTCTCCACTAGACTTAGGGTTACTGTCTTCCTTTGCAGATGGGTTTGACTCTTCAACTTCTCCAATCTGGGGCTGTTCAGCTGGGTAGACAAAGAAGTCTTCCAGTTTGGCTTGAGACTGGTCCTGTGTCAAAGTCTGCATCTTGTTTGGCTGACCACTGGCCTGGCTTGCCAGTACAGTGCTAGGGTTATGACTATCACGTGACCACTCAGGTTTTGATTTTCTGTTGCTATGTATTAGAGTTGAATTCAGTATCACAACAGAAGGTGGAAGCATTGGTGCTGAAGGATGGGTATTATCCTGGTGAGGTGGAATTATTCTGTTCTTTTGTTCTGGAAAAAAGCTTGGTTCATTTTTGTTGATGGGATTCTGGGGCACAGAATTCTTTGGAATTCCCACTAGATGATTCTGATTAGAATGATTAGTTAGCAAATCCTTCATTTCATCATAGTTTCCAAGCGTGTTCTGGACTCGGTTGGCAAGTGCATCACCTTTGTTTGTCTAAAATAACAAAAAGATGGGGGTGGGAGGAGAGAGAATGAATAGGTTTGTGTTTCCTAATGTTAATGTTTCAAACAGATGCCCTAAGTAGACTACCATACGGGGCTCTTTAAAATTGTCCTGTTGCCATATAATTTCATGCTTTTCATGTGCTATGTAAGAAAAAAATCAATAACACTATTGAAAAAGCCTCTTAGAATGAGTGGGTATGACTAACATTTGTATACTCCCTAGCCAGTTCTTAAACATGTTCATTGATAAAAAGTTTTAAATTATATCATTTATTAATTTTATTAGAAAAAATAATTTATTCTGTGACAGATGAGCTGAATTGCTACATTCTACATTGTGATTAACAACTTTTGCTTACCAATCATTGGAGTTATAATGGAATGTTCTACCTATATAAATGTTTGACATATCAGCCTTTGTACCACATTATACCATGAAAAAGGCTTAGGCTATTGGATAAGAAAATCGGTTAAATTGTACTACCATGACTATGGTAAATTTAGAAAAGGAATGGAATTAAACAGCATCTAATTGAGCTAACTTATGACTAAAGTGAATCTGATTCCTTCTAATCAAAGAACTGTATGAATTACTAGTGTTTGCCTGTATATTCTGGAAAGACTGTGTTTACATATTGATGATTCACACTCATTTACTTTGAAATGGTGCCATTGTTTTCAACAGTGACTCAAACCCTTCTGTGTCTTTTCAATTATTAAGGAAAATTTATTCAAGTATTTAAACTGTTGTTTAAGTAAACCAAAACAAAGTTATCTTTTCAAAGTGATGTTAGCCTAATGTAGAGCAGTTAGAGAGGCAACTAAATCATTTTATGGACAATCAGTATACCAGCTACACCACCCCCTGTGGGATGTATTTGTTCTATTAAAATGGCTGTGATTGTTTTTAAAATAATTATGCTCCTGCATGGGTTTTTGTAATACAGAAAGCAAAGTTACCATACTAAAAAATGATGGGTAGCTGTATACTTGGAAATGACTTTGATGCAAGCTCAGTTGTTCACCCCCAAAAGTGGCTTTCTTTATTCTCTTTATATGCCAAAGAGGTTATCAAAACAAGCTGCTGAATTCAGAAAGCCAAAGGACTTTTTTTGTACCTAGGCTGTACTATCCTGGCCCAAGATGTTGCAATGATAGAAGGCTACCAGTATTCAAGGAGCCATCTGGGAAGTGGGCCACAAAAGATATCACCCTATGTGGCCTTCAAGTCCCAGAAGCCATGGGTACATTTTCAATGCACAGGAGGGAGTGACCATCTAACCATTGGTACACTCTCTGCTGAAGACAGTTGTTTAACATCTAAAATTTTTCACATGCCGTTAACACAGCCCAGTCTCCTGGTGTACACGGGGAGTATACCTATACAGGGCTAGCATCTCAGTCTAAACTTAGGTTGTATGGCTGTGTGTTTTCCTCTTTATGTGAAGATGGGAGGATATGCAGATGGATAGAGGGCGAAGTGCCAGAAATGGGTGAAATCGTCTGGGGAAAGCAAACGTAGAAAGAGAAGATAGGGATTCGCAGAGAACCCTGGGAAGCATCAACCTTTAAGAGACTGAGATAAGATGAGGAGCCAGCAAATGATACCAAGAAGGAACAATCAGAGAGCGAATCAAACCAGTAATCTTGGCCTCATTATCAGCACCATCTCCATATACCATATAAAGTATTTTACTCATACCGTGTGTGTGAAACCATATGATACACTTCCAAAGAAATGAGGGCAATAGGAGAAATATAAATTTCAAAGATTAAGGAAAAGTATGCTAAACATATGCTAAGGGAGCTCTGTCAGGGACAGATATTTTTAGAAATCAAGTAACTACATGTCAGTTTTAGTTTGCTTATCCTCCAATCATATATTGTATCATATGCAACCTTAGTATTGAAGTAGTGATTAAACAATTAACATTCTCTATAATCCTCAGTTGAATAATCACTCTGTTTTCAAAAGTACATCTGAAAGATATATTAAAAGTTATAGATGGATAAAGTCACTTTTACTTCCTAAAAGTCTCTAGGTTTGTCATTTTTAAAGGCAGGAATTACTTTTCAGCCCAGACAAGAATAAACCCTTTGTATATAGTGGTCTCCTTCAACTGAGTTGCACAATGAACCACATGGACAGCAGCCAAAACCAGGCTCCCTGTTCAATCTCTAAATTTAAAACAAAACAAAACAAAAAATCATTGTGCTGAGGGTCCAACAAGAATCTGATGCAAGCTTTAAACATTTGTAGGTTATTTTGGCCTGTCAAACAGATTACCTCTTGGGTCAGATGTTTGCCTCATGCACAGTGATACCCGGCCATATTCAATGATCTGACCCAACAAGGGAAAACAATACCACTTCACTTCCCATTAGAATGCCTTCATTCTATTATCTGGCTTTCACAGAAACAGAGCTCTGCAAAATCAGAACCTTGTCCCTAGGTGTCATAGAGACCACTATAATACCTCCATGCCCTGAGAAGTCATTGTAGTCTCCTTAGGGAAACATAATCAGGACTTAAGAACGTGAAAGCTCATTTGCTTACAAGCAAGCTAGTCAAATTCCTGTTCTTGTTTCAGGAGTAAATAAAATAGGTTCATATTTTCCTCAGTAGGGAGAACCTTGCCTACCTTTGTAATATCTCTTCATTGACAATTACTTATAATGATCTGAGTTTCTGAAGCAAGCTTAGATATATTTTTCCATAGCTAGGTTACAAAAATATACTTGAAATTAAGAGAATTTCTAAACTGGCCAATGTCTAAAACTGTGTCTATGTGAACAAAATTAGAGGAAAATTGAAATTTCTCTCAACGAGTCTAGAAAATCAACCTTCTACTACACAGTGTATACTACACTTATGATAACTTTTCTTGAATAAAACTATGAGTTATTAAAGGTCAGAGACTACATTTCACTTATTTTTATATACTCAAGATGTAGCACCATGTCTTGTGCTTATCAAATACTCAATAAATTTTTATAGAATTGAATAGGACAAATTAAAATTCATACCCTGTCTATATCAAAATAAAGAATTTGCAATGGCTGGAGTCAAAGGTACATAATAGAAAGCAAAAATCAGGCTAACTTGGTTACTACAATTTAACATTAAATTGAACTTTGAGTTTCCTGGTAGCTAAGGCAAAAAGGAAAAGCTCGTAGGTTACAGAATTATCTTTGATCGAAAGAAGCATATCCTAATTCATTAAATGAGACAAATGGTTGTCTGATAATAAAATGTGAAAAGGAATTCCTCTCACTGATATGTTTAGAAGAACAGTTGAGCAATGAAATAATTTTTGGGGCCTCATTTTCCAAGATGATGCAAATATGTCTTCATGTGGCTTTTTCTTATGATGACTAACTCAGTGAAAGCATGTCTGTATGTGGACTTAGAGGTCTAGGCTAATACAATCCAGGCGTGCAGCTTTCTTGCACACTAATGACACAGGAGTGAAGCTGTGATAACCTGGAGAAATGAGGGATGTCATCTCCCTTAGACTAGTTTCCTCATAGAGCAATTGTCTCAGAAGGACGTGTGACAGGAAATGTATAGCACACAGTTCAAGGTTGAGTTCACTGGTGATGCTTTCTGAGTTGCTGATTGAAGGAAGATCCATATGGTTTGCATAACAGATGTTCTGTGGCTACACGTAGGAATTATTATAGTAGTTCTTAAGACAGACACTGGTAAATTTGGGACCCTCCTGAGGCAGGGTTATGCACAGAGGACACATGGACACAGAGCCTCAAGAAGTTCACCATTCAACAATTGGCATATAATTAGCAGTCCAGTCCAGGTTGTCAGAGTAAGCACTCCACCTTCCACCACTGGAGGTGGGTAATTGTCAGTCAGTTTTTAAATTTCTCAAGATGGAGATACGAGAACCACTGGATAGAAAACCTAATGGGACCCAAAATACATTTATACACACCTACAAAATGTACTCTCATTATACACCATAGCAACTTCTGATTCATACTAAATGTTCTTTTTCACCCTCCTGAGTCTTAGTAATCCTATTAAGGAGCAAAATATTCTTGATAATCTTGATTGAACATTATAAACGTGACAAAAATGAAACTCAGCCATTTTAATCAATTATATGCTTCTTTCAATTATTCAATTCTTTACTTACCGGTCTAGATAATTGGTTGATTCTTTAAAGGTAACCTCTGCAGCCTTTATTTTCTAAGTAATCACAATTTCTCTATCATCAGGAAATGCATTTTCCAAGTATTTTCAGGCATAAATTACATGTCTGGTTTGTGGCTCATGACTAACAGCATTCCTTCATTTAATCTTTTTCACCTCTCATTTCTTCAGGAAATGCAAACTTCCCTCAGTTTGTTTCTAATGCTATCTACAAATCAGTAGTATAATTTCATTGCATGCAAGACTAATGTGCTAGGAGGCTATTGTACCATAGTATTTCTTTTTAATACAAGTAGCAAAATAATTTAAGTTTTGAAGCTCATTTTTTTCTTTTATTTTATTGTGGCCAACATGTGATTTAGTAATTCATTTTTTTCTAAATCTAGTATTTTTGCAGTTAATCTCTCTAAGCTCTAAGTTTCTATTTCCTTCTTTACTCTAATTATAATAACGATAATACCTGAATTTGTATAGCACCTTACAGATTTCAAAGCAAGGTTTCCCACATTATTTCATTTGATCCTTAAAACAACCATGTGAGTCAGCAGAGTAGGTCTGGCCTCCATCTGGCCTCTACCTCTATGTGCCCCAACACAAATGACCTTGGGTAAGCCACTTAATAATCCTCTCTGCACCTCAGTTTCCTCATTCCTATTGGACTATAAAGAGTCGTAGAATGTTACTATTCTTATTAATTACTATGATTCAATCCAGAAAGGAAAAAGAAAACCTATGGATCAGAGAAAAGGAGTTTCTTCTCCACTGTCACCCAGCAGGTAAGCTGATCAAGTCTTCTGACTTCCCGTCAGAGGATAAATAACTTCCTGTTACAGATACAGAATCATACAGAACTGGATGCAAAGTCTAAATTCGCCATGTATAAGGATATGAAAATGCAAAGAAGACATCTCAATTCTCTGAGTTAAAATTCCTCATGGAAAACATGGGAAAATTGTATACCCCAGTTGTTATAAGGTCTAAATGAGCACACACATGAAACTCTAGCACAGTGCCTAGCACACAGTAAGCTGGCATGCACTTGTTACATGCCAGTTCCTTACCAGACTTAGTGCACTAACCTAGACAAGTCAAATGGCTTCATGTTTTTCAGGAACATTTGAAGACATCCTTCTCAATAGCATAACACCAATTTGAAAATCATATGCTACAAAAGCAGCCCAAGAGAGAAGTTCCCTATCACTAACCAAATCTAGGGGCGGTCAACATTCTCTCCATTCTAGCAGTGGTAGAGGCAAAGAAAAGAAGGGAAAGAAATTAGCCAGGAACGTGAGAGATTACCATTTATCTTTCTGCCAAGAAAGGATAATAGGTCCTAGAGATCAGTGTTCATATTGGCTAGTTTATGAACCACTGGCGCTATTGGACAGGTAACTGGACCTTGTTTTAGGCTTCAGGGTAGCAAGAACTTTCCTGAAAGTCTTGACCCACCATCAGGAATGTTTATTCTAAATTTGATAAGTCCTCCCACTGCCACCTTAGGGAAGAGCTGTGGTATGTTCTCGTTTCTACCAGTGGACCATGGGCCAGCTCTAGGACCCCCATGACCACTGGCATGTCAGCATGTCCAGATACTCCAAGGGTATCCAGCCCAGTCTTGGTCTGGGGAGCCTTATGGAGGTGCAACATCAGTTCTAGTATTCTGTTACTCCTCAGTGCTGTCCCAGGGAACCCTGAATGTGGACACAGCTCAAGATGACAACCAATCATCAAAGCAAGGGTGAAAGAAAAATAATTATTAGGTCAACAATCACTAGCATTATTCTTTTTCTTCACAGTTTTGACTTAAGAACAAAGGTTTTGGCTAGGCATGGTGGCTCACGCCTGTAAACCCAGCACTTTGGGAGGTCAAGGTGGGCAATCACCTGAGGCCAAGAGTTTGAGACCATCCTTGCCAACATAGTGAAACCCCATCTCTAGTAAGAATACAAAAATTAGCTGGGCATGGTGGTACGCACCTGTAATCCCAGCTACTTGGGAGGCTGAGGCAGGAGAATCACTTGAACCTGGGATGTGGAGGCTGCAGTGGGTCGAGATCGCACCACTGCACTCCAGATTGGGTGACAGAGTGAGACTCCATCTCAGGAAAAAAAAAAAAAGAACAAATGTTTTTCCTCATCAGGAAGCACAAAGGTAACAAGCTACTAATCACGCAATACGCCCTGCCCCACACTATACTAAATGTTCCCATCTATGTCTCTACTTGATGTACCCTTGTAATATCAAGACAGATGGCTTTTGAAACTTCTGAAAATGTTGATAACAGATTTTTTCAACTGCCTACTCAAAAATACACTGCTAACATTTAAAAAATGGATCTATATAACAGGCCTTGTGAAAAGATGGCATTTACCTTAAAGGTACAAGACCATCAATTTATCATGACTTAAAATTATGAAGGGAGAATAAATCAAGAGTTCTTCACCTCATTATAGTGTTGAGGATAGTGTGGATGTTGGATTTTAAGAATAAACTTTTGAGTAAAGCACATTTTTCTAACCCATCCAAAGATAACATGTAAAACTTATCTCCTTGTTCCTTCTTCACCTTGAGCAAGGATAAGACACTTACCATGCTTTGACCTCTCCTCTATTTTCTGCAGAAAATGGAAGCCCTGATTTCTTGCACTTCCCCAATCTTCCTTCCCCTCTCCTGCTTTGTTCTCATTCTAATGTTCTGTTCCCACCTTCCACCCCATAGCTCATGATTCCTCAACTGCTCTCCATCTTGTATTATTTTTAATCTCCTCTGGGACCTTTCTCCACTTAGCTTCACCCTTCTCTCCTGTATCTTCCACCTTCTCTTTCTCCATTGAAGTTATTTGCTTCCCATCAATCTCTAAACATGTTCACGTTTATCTCATTTTTCTAAAAAGCTTCCCTTTATATAATTCCTCCCTTTACTTTCTAACTTATCTTTCTTTCTTTTTTCCTCCATGTAAAACATTTCTGCAAGATCATATCTACATTGACATCTCACTTTCTTTACTTAACCACTTCCCATTTATCCTCCAACCCCTGGCAGTTTGGCATCCCACAGTGACCATTGTCATCAACAAATAAAACAACTCTCCCTAAGGAGCCACCATTACTCCTTAACTGCTAAATCCAAACAGCCAGGACTTTAAAGTTCTTACCTTTCCTGACCTCTCTGAGGCACAGCAAATCCTTCCTCTACAAAATCCTTAGGTCCCTAGGTTTCTATTAAATGTTTCTTTCCTAGTTCTCTTCCTACCACTCTGATCATTCTTTTGGAGTTTCCTTTCCTGGCCTCTGCTTTCACCACCTCTTTTACCCCTTAAATGGTGCTACTCCCAAGAATTGTTTGTCCTCCTTTTTATTCCATAATCTCTTCAGTGATGGTAGGCATTCTCACAGCTTCCACTAACACCTATAAGACAATAACAGCTAAACTTCTCTCTTGACCACTCCCATGAGTTTCAGACCCATATATCCAAGCCTTCTGGATAGCTCTCTCCTGATATCTCTCTAGCATCTCAAAGCCAACATGCTCAAAACTAAATTAGTTATTTCTTCTCTACAAGCACCAACCATGTTCTCTTCCTGAACAACTTGTTCATGATACCACCACTCTCTCAAGTAAAAAACTTGGGAACCATTAATTCTTATTCCATATTCCCCACATGCAATTAGACACCCAATTCCATAATTTCAACTTCCTTACTCTACCTTAAATCGTTCCTGATATAAGCTCCCCTCATCAATTACAATAGCTTCTTTATCTTTCCTTAGTATCTCCTACCTGCAACCCATGGTCCACACTGCCCAACATCATTCTAAACTGTTCATTTGTCCTGGCCATACCATGATTTAAATATTTGTAATGATTTTTATCATGTAAAAAATTATGTTCAAACTCTTTATAATGAGTTTGAGTACAAAGTCTTCGCTGATCTTTCCCTTGCTATCTCTCTGTCACCATGCAGGCATGCTATCACTGGTTCAAATGATCTCTGCCACTCGACTAGGAACTCCTTGAAAACACAGACTCTGCTATTCCTCTTTGCACACTGGTGTAAGCCAGTGACTAGCACATAGTAGGCCTTCATAAATTTTTGTTAAACCAATTATATATCTAAATATATACTTTCAAAGTAGTATAAAAATTAACCTGTTGATATGGGAACACTGCTATTTTATGGATCATACTATTACTGACAGATTGAAAACCAGTAGCTTAGGTGACCTAAGTTTCTTCATCAGGCTTACCAAACTTGAAAGTTCCTGCAATGTCTCAATCAAGAGTTGCTTAGTTGCTTTGAACAAGGCAACAAGACCCTAGTCTCACCAGTCACCAATCCAAATAGCTTACTCTCTACCCCAAAGTAGTATTTGGGCCTATACTGTCTTCCTTAAGAACTTTCCTTTTCCAGAAGTCACTGTCCCTTAAAGGGTACTCGTCTAAAATCACAGCTCTTGAAAATTTTCTCTGTTGTTGTATTTCTTACATCATTTTTGTTTTATTACAGAAAATTACACTGATACTACATTTCAATAAAAACCAACCAGCTGCCAGCAATTCAATAAGATTCTTCCATCATAATCTCTTTCCAGTCGCCTCTCATCTCTACCCCAAATAGAAAGTTTAGAAGCAGTCACTGTAAAATCAACACTTGTAGACACAGCAGTTTGATGATTATTGGAGCTATACATTAGCCGGACTACCACTAGAAATTCAACCTAGCTATACTACCCCCCTCTGGTTGAGACAATCTTCTAACCCATGATTATTAATCATCAGAAAAAATGATTGGCTTTTTTTCCTTTATTCTGGAACAACGATTTTCAAAGAGCACTCAAACCACTGAAGAGCTCTAACAACCTAAAATGGAAAAGAAAAACAGTGGCTTTGCAATGGATGACACTGATTGGGAAAAGAAACAGATATCTCCATTGACATTCTGATGAAGTCTTCAGGAGCTGCCTACTGACAATCACAGCAGTAGAAAGTGTCAAGGGGGCATTCCTTGCTGTAGGAAGTGTTGGGCAGAGAGGGGCTCATTGGAAACAGGAAGTCTCACAAGTATCTCTTCAATCCTACTGTGCTCCCAAAAGAAGATGAAATTTGTTTCTGAAGACTTCATCAGAAACTTGCAGTTGCCTCAAATACAGTGTATGTACAAATTTCACTTGTAAAATATATTCCCCTGGAAATGAGTTGGGTGCTTTAAACATAAATCAAATGTTGATTAGTGAGTTCAAAAATGTAACAAGCAACCATTTTCCAGAAAGAAAAAATACATACATATTCAGCTACCTTGTATGGCTCCCCAAAAAGATCAAAGCCTGAAGAAAAGAGATCGTCTTCTTGCTGGACTTCTTGATTCCTCCGTTCCCATTCCCTTTTTTTAAGTGCACTACGGTCTTGTTCATAGTGACTGATATGAAAAGGAAAAGACAAAAAGAGAAAAAGATTAATTAATCATGCGAATCATTTAAATTTTTGTTGTTGTCAATAATAAAAAAAAAAAATTCAAGTCAACTTGCTGCCCAAGCTGACACTGCATAGAGAGCAGATAATCCTTTTCATTACACCTATTGAGTTTAAGATCCTGACCAGCTCTTCAGAACAAAGACGAAAACAAAAACTTGCTTATCTGAAATTACATTCATGACAAGCAAGTAAAGCAAAATTATCTTCCCTTGTCCTTGTTTGATTATTATAAGTAATTACATACTCCCCAAAAGTCAGTCCACAGTGCAGAAAGGTACTAAATTAAAGTTACATTGTGTTGCCAACTACCTAGGGCTCAGAATCCACAGATGTCACAAAGTCCTAAGAGAAAAGAATTATCAAAGTATGGAGCTGCAGATAAACTGGAATTCTGTCCTGAGCCCATAGCCAAAGTGAGCCTGTTTTAATGAACTCACAGGAGAATTTAAGGACATTTTCGGAAGTCCACAGAAAAATAAATAACCAAATCACCTACACTTCTTTTTGTTTGGTTGTTGTGGTATTGGTCTTCTTATAGTTTTCTTCAAAGGTGAATGGAAGCCTTTTTGAGAAACTCTTCACAAAAAAAGGGGGTCTGACTTGAATAACAAATGACTAGCTGTAGATGAAAAAAAGGAGGTGTCAAAACCCTTTAATGACCTCGATGAACAAATGTTTTACAAAGACTAACTGTGACTCTCATCACATTTCAGGCTTTCCCATTGGAGGATCAGAAGCTCCTAAACAACATTTAAGGTATATTCCAGGCCTTTGGGTATTATGGAATGCAATGCTTCCTTACTAAGAAAACAATTATTTTCTTCATCATGCAAGACTGCAAATTAAACCATAATTGTAAGTCTTGTAGCGGTGTATTTTATTTTATTCATTGGGTTTTTTCATGCTTTTGATGTTAACCTTACCCAACGTGAGTACATACACACTGGGCAAATTTAAGTTACATAAATGTACATAAAATGCTTAGCAGGTGTTGGATAAATGTTGGTTTCCTTCCCCATGTTAATATTCCCATGTTAAGACTTAATTAGATAATTGACATGCAAATGAACATAATAGCTAAAGGAATTACAAGAGATCTACTGATATAAGTGTACAGTTGACAGGCTTTGACTATATCCGAAACCTTAATATCTGTCATTGGTAGGCTAGTTTGCTCAAAGTATCATAAATTTAATTTACAAAGTAAGAACCTAGAACATAAACTATCTGTGCAGCTTAACTAGATGTTGATAAACATGGAGTGTACAATGCCACTACACTTAATCATCCACTTTTCTTCACAGGAATCCTTGAGGTCAACAAACCTGCATGTTATGCACATGTACCCTACAACTTAAAGTATAATAATAAATAAAAATAAAATAAAATAAAATAAAATATAAATTAAAAAAAAAAAAAAACAAATTCAAAGTGACTTTGATAACTTCATCTCCTGGATAAAGAACACTCATTTCTCCATTAAAAAACAGCGACAACATTTATAGGATGTCTAAATGCACATTACACTTTCATAATACAAACAACGTCAGATACATTAAAGCTCACTGGACCATTCATGAGTATATTCAACAAATGTCATCACTGTCTGAGCAAAGCAAACAAAACCTTCAGAGTCCTACCCTAAGCCAGGGCCTCACATCTAGGCCTCACCTGGTCAAGGAAGATGTCAAGTCCAGATACTGGAAGGCAGCCTATCATTTGTAGTCTCAGATGCCCTCCATAGGTATTAGATTTTCTAGCATCATCTTTCATTTCCATTCACAAGTTGAACTCAGTATCCCAAACAATTGCAGTGTCCATGTTTGAGACTGACATAGAACTAATCAGGCACAATAACATCTTCAGTCCATTAAGTGTGGTGTTTGTGACTGTACCTCAGCACCATACATTGGCTGTGTGTAATCCAATCCCATAAATTTGTCCAAATGTAAGAAAGATTGGGTGTTAGGATGAGGGTAGAGTAACAAGTTAAAGCAATATTTAGTGAGGGCGGAGTTGTTGCAAAGGAGAAGGACACTTAATTTCTCTGCTTTCCATAGCAGATTAGTACCTATACACAAACAAGAACCAAAGTCTTTTCCTTCTGAGTAATGCAAGCAGGATGTCAGTTTTCTAGCTATCTGTTCATTTTGTGCACCTGACAGCTCAGAATGACAGGCCCATAGATCACATTTAATTCTCCCATGAAGAGAACTGAAGTGCTTTGGTCTCTTGGCTTTGCAAACTACTTTCCTTCTCCTCTGAGGGAAAGATATAATTAAAACCCTGAAGGAAAAAGAAAGGAGAAGAAGAAAAGGAAACATGCTTCAACTTGCATGACAACCTTTCAAACTACCAGCAGTAAGGGCACTTTCGGTGCTTTGGCCCTGGCTTTGATTTGTTAGGAGGCTCTTGGCTGCATTTTGCATCAGTTCATTAGCTACCAAATTCCAGACACAAATTTGAATAGCAGATTGAGTGTTCACGCGGGTGTTATCCGTTGCAAGCAAAACTGCCTGCTGCATTTTTTAACACATCCAACAAAGAACAGTTAATTCTCATATCTCTGGCGAGAATGAATTTAATCTCCACAGAGCTCCACTGCTCTTGGAAGGCAACCAAATATCTCCAACTTTTTCCTTTCTTGCTCAGCATGGCGTTGTATTGAAGGCTTCACACAGAGAGGTCTAATGAGTAATGAACTACATGGTGATGAGGCTTTCAGTTTATAATGTCACTGATTTCTGACTGAAACCAACATTACTAATTTGAAGCACCAGCTAATTAAAACCACAGCTATGTATTTAGCCTCTTGTTATACCTACTGCAGTTTATAATTATGAGGACCTCTTTATCTACTCAATTAAATTTCTTATGATTCAGGCAGGTTGTGTTTGAACCTGTGAGCCCTGCAGAAGCTACAGGAAAGTATATGTCTGTCCCCTGATAATTCGATATATCTTTACACACCCAGGCCTGCTTTCCAAAGGAAAAAGAGCTCCATAGCCCACAGAGAAATGCTTAAGCGAAAAACCTGAAGTAATCATCATATCATTGGCATGAACAATTCAAGTTTCTTCTCAGTGATGAAGACAGGACGAATTGATCCTATCAATCAGCATGAAAACCCATGTTTATACTGAGAAGTTAAGCCAAAAAGCTCAACTCAAGGATTCACCACTCTTAGCAAGTTAGGATATTTTTCCAACATTTTTCTCCTGGATATAATAAAATTGGTCACATTATGATAACACAAAAACTGACCACTCAAAACCAAATTTACTATGAATCAACCAAAGGTTTTAGGTTTCTCTCTCTCCAGGTTACCTTTTTGGAATCCCTATTTCACTGATATCCATACTAGTTGATTGGAAAAGGTCAGAAAGAAGAATAAGTTCCATTTAACTACTTTGTTAATCACCCTGGTGTAAGGCATGATGGTGAGAAGCTTCTCTCTATCATAGGATTTTTTTTCTTTTCTTTCTTTCTCTTTTTTTTTTAGATGGAGTTTTCCCTCTTCTCGACCAGGCTGGAGTACAATGGCGCAATCTCGGCTCACTGCAACATCCGCCTCCCAGGTTCAAGCGATTCTCCTGCCTCAGCCTCCAAAGTAGCTAGGATTACAGGCACCAGCCACCATGCCCGGCTAATTTTTTGTATTTTGAGTAGAGGCGGGGTTTTGCCATATTGGCCAGGCTGGCCTTGAACTCCTGACCTCAGGTGATCCACCCGTCTCGGCCTCCCAGAGTGCTGGGATTACAGGCATGAACCACTGCACCCGGCCCATGTTTTTTATATTAGCTGTGATTTCACCCACCTGTGTGCTTCCCTGGCCACCACAAACAGAGGAACTGCCCTCATTTACAAAAGAGGAAACTAAGGCCCTCCTAAAATGAACAGAGGCAGCTGTCTCAAGCCGTCATCAAGCTAGTGGCAAAGGAAAATCTGAATCTGTTTCTTCCATCTTCAAGTTCAAGTAATATCTTCTCCTAGCCTTCTCCTTCTCTCAGACACTTGAACCTTATCTTGTATGTAGATAACTCTCATTTTGCTCATTAAAAGCCTCAGGTACATTGGTGGGACAATAAAATGCAGGGCACATGTAGATTCCCTGAGATCCAGAAAGTTCAATTACGCCGTCTTCATTAGCGCACAGTGGTAGCCCATGTAGGCTGACAATACAGGCTAGTCTTTTACAACAGAGACTGTTTAAAACAGGAAAAGAGTTTAGCAATCATCTAGTTGCAGTGCCCTCATTTTACAGATGAGGAAATAGAACTAAGGTAAGGTAATGGGCCTCACAGCGGGTTTGTCAGAGAACTAGGAGGCTGGAACTCAGGCTTTCACATTCCCAAGCTACGTGGTTTGTCCCTTCTGCTTCCTGTGTTTCCATCACACTTCAGAATGAAGATGAGTCTCACATGCACTCCATTGGTCACCTTTCCTTGGGACTGCTTTTTATTAGAAATTGCCAGTAGGGAAAATCTTTAGGGATTTAATTTGGATTCAAGTATAGAAAAACCATTAGTTTCCTTATATCAAAATGTACAGACCCTAAAGGGATTGTAAAAATTAACTGCATCGGTGGGGAAGAGGCTGGGCGAGGGAGAGTAAAAACCAGTTTCAGTCCATTTGGTTCATATATTTCATGAAGCCTAATACTCATTGTTTACCTAATTTGGTTATTTTACAAAGCCACTTGGGGAAACTTTAAAAAATTGATATTTTAAAATGATAAATTTGTTTTAAAATACTGCTAATATACGATTTGCTGTAGTAGTGGTGTACATAAAGGTAAATAATTCAGCCTCACGTGTTTTCCAGTCCAACTACACTAAATGCCTTTATTTGGCTAATATCTTTGCAAAAGTATAAAAATACATATTTAGTCCACCCAAAGAACAAACATAAGCTATCACTCACTGCTTGTGGTTCTTCTGAATG